AACATGACATGCTTTAAAACTGTGCATGCCCCGTGCAATCGTGGCAAAATGCATACATTTTTTAATATCCATAGGCAATGCTTTAAAAGCCTTTACAAGCTACCATTTTAGATTTACAGAGAAGGTCTAGTGCTAGAATTACTGCCCTTGATCTGATGTTCACAGCGCTCACAGCGATACCTCAAATGCATGATGCAGCCGTTGCTTACATACTAGCACAGGGTTCAACACTCGCGCACACTGTCCCTTTAATGTTTTTATCACTTTTAATGCTATCACAGGGATTGCAAATATCCCCTATAACTTCAATGGGCATTGTCGTCATATATTCTTTTTTGAGAAATCTGGGGTCTATCAAACTCTAGATATCTCCTCTGCCCTTACATTATCTAATCTCACCAAAATTGGTGTGATCAGATGCTTTATCAACTTACAAATGGTGCTGTTTATATCCTGCGAAACTGAAGTGATGAAATGCTCATAGCTTCCAATTTCTTAGATTATAGAGATGATTGGAACCATTCCGGTCTCCAATCAGCTCTATGGTCATCTGGCAGAAACACCGGCTACATTCTCAGGTTCTCCCAATGGCACGGGACTGCCAGAGAAGGCTGTGGAAGGCATCATCTCCCGCTGCTTGTAAAAGCAATCCTGCAGCCAATTAGCCACTAGGATTGCTTTTACATGAAAGTTGATTGCTGGCTGAAAAAAAATGATACCAGGATGATGCCTGCAGCTGTAGGCATCATCCTGGTATAAACATTCAGTGATGTACCAGTACGTCGCTGGTCCTTATTGGTTATATATACTATGTTCTTTTTTTTTTTATACAGCCTGTGGGCTGAATGAATGAAAAAAAGAGAAGAAATGTCCGCCAGAAAAAGTGTGTGGTTTTCCCACCATTAGAATATACTGCCCTGCATCCACCCACTTCTAATGGTGGGCACACATTAGATCGCATGGTGCCACATGCGCCAACTCCAAAATTGTACAAATGTCTAAATAGTGGCACGCTTGAATAAAAATTGTCCACATATAAGTGGTACCTCAAATGGAAAAAGTCCCACCAAGTCCCAAACTACCATGCCGCTGCTCCCCATGTAGACTGGGCATCCAGGGGGCTCCACCTAACTATCTTTTCCTTTGTAAATCCGAAACTTATATGTATACCCTGTCGCCCTCTCACAGGTCTTATACATCTTGACCCCATATCTGGCACGTTTGCTGGGGAAAAATTGTTTTAATGCAAGGCGGTCAGAAAAATTAATGAGGGACTCATCAACGCAGATTTTTTTTTGGGGAGTATAGACATCTGCAAATTTTTGGTTAAGGTGATTTACAAGGGGCCGAATTTTGTGGAGCCAGTCAAATTCAGGGTCACCCCGAGGACGACAGAGTGTATTGTTTTTGAAATGCATACAACACATTATACTCTCATATCTATGCCTGGCCATGGCAGCAGAGAACACGGGCATATGATGAATCGGGTCTGCGGACCAATAGGACCGCAATTCATTTTTTTTAGTAATGCCCATGTTGAGGGTTAGGCCCAAAAAAACTTTAAATTTAGAAACTGTAATGGGTTTCCATGCTAATGGTCTGGCAAGTTTTGAATTTGGGTTGGCGGCAATAAATTGTTGTGCATATAAATTGCTTTGATCCCCAATCAATGCATACAGATCTTCCATGAAAAACAGCTCCAAAATATCAAGGGGAGTAGTTAAATTTGCTGTTTCCACCTGAATTCCGGGTGGGAAGTACAAGTGCTGCAGAATTTGTGGGCTACCAATCGGGACTTGCAAGCACATCCGGAAGGATACTAGGGGCTCTACGGGCCTGTGTGCGAAATCTTGGTAGTTGTGGGACAATACAGGTGCTTGCTACTGCACCAGCTTGTACTGCACTTATGGGACTTGCCACATCACCAAGTGATACTGCAGTGCTGGTATGTGAAAGACCAGGTATACTAAGCTGCTGGTGCTCGCAAGTGCTAGCAGAGATCAGGCCAGATTCTGCGAAACTGCGGTTTTGATTGCAATGTATCAAGTGACAGTGACCTACTGACACAGCACTTGCGGGGGGATAAGGGGAAGGGGGGGCGGTTAAAAGTAGGGACTAAATTCAGGTGCTGGCAGGTGCTGGGGCTGATCCCGCTAACGCTGTGTTTTGGGGGGACACTATACTAATGTGAACGCTGGTATAGTGCTGATCCGATTAAAGATATTGATCCCGTTCAGACACTATACATGCAATGGAGGTTTATTGTGTATGAGCGTCTTCCTGGCAATCAAGGGGTTAAATGTGATTACTGGTGTACTGATGGGCAATCTGACGCTATCTGGGAGGGGCGTGAAAACCACGGGAGGGCGAATCACGTGTATATATGTGATTTTGTGCACCCATGCCGCCCTGTAGCAGTGTTTCTGCTATAGGGCGTTCAGTAAGCGGTTACAGAAGCTGTTTGCATTACGGTGCTGCATTACTTTAACTGACAATTGCGCAGTCATGCAACGCTGCACCCAAATGAAATTTATGTCCTTTTTTTCCACTAATTGAGCTTTCTTTTGGTGGTATTTGATCGCCTGTGCGGTTTTTTTTTTTCGCACTATAAAAAAGAAATACCGACAATTTTGAGAAAAAAAAAAACAATATTTTGGACTTTGTGCTATTAAACATGTCCAGAAAAAAATTTAAAAATCAAATTTCATCATAAATTTAGGACAAAATGTCCTAAAAAAAAATCCCAATATGTGTAAATTAATCGGTTTCCTTGAAAGTTATAGCGTTTACAAATGGCAGTATAGATACTGGAATTTTTTTTTTATACTAATAATGGCGGCAATCAGTGACTTTATGGCGGTGATCAGCGACTTATAACAGGACTGCGGGACTGTGGCTGGCATTCTGACACTGGGGGAAACTGACTTGGTGTCACTGACATCCCCAGTGACACCAATACAGTGATCAGTGCTAAAGAAAACACTGACACTGTGCTAATGGCACTGGGCAGGAAGGGGTTAACATGAGGGGCAATCAAAGGGTTAACTGTGTGATGGGAGTGTTTTACTAGGGGGTGGGGTGCTTCACTGTAAGCACACTGCTCTGGATGGCTCTGCTCAGCCATCCAGAGCAGTGTGCCCAAACTGACAGGGAGGAGGGCTGCTGGTAAACAATCCAGCCCTCCTCCCTGACGGTGATCGGCAGTAATCACCGGCCGGGACCCGGTGATTGACACCTGGGGCCGCAATCGGCGATGCGGGTAGGGCGCACGCGTGGGTCGCGTGCGCCCCCTACCCGGAAATGCAGAATCACGTATATATACACGTGATTCTGCGTACAGGGGGCCGTTCTGTAGCAGTAAATGTACTGTGAGCGGTCCTTAAGCGGTTAAGTAGCGCCCTTTTAAAATCAACTATCTGCTGGACTGCTTAATAAGACTCATCTGTAGTTGAATTCTTGTCAATTAGGATTTTGTTGTCTAAAATTTAGCCTTACTCCTAAGAGTGTCATTGGGTTGTATTCATTTTTACAACATGGTCTTGAATGAATTTGTTAGGAAAAATAGTTTTTTTTTTTGTGTGAAAATTAACAAATCTTGTTTGCAATCAATGGCCCGCATTTGTGAGAGTATTTTGTAGTATACTGTCCCATAGAAAATGTTGATTCTGAAAGGAAAGTAAAGGTTTTCTGACAAATCTGTTGGGGTATACTCATTTATGCTGAGCACTGTAAATGTTGTATCTTTCCCATCTGCTCCGTACCTGAATCACAAAATTGTCATAACCATTGACAATGAACCTTTTTAAAGTGGTGGTATGAGGACAGGAATATGGGAATTTTTTTTTCTTTAATATGCAGGCTCAAAAGTATAACTTTGAACTGCACTTCAATATCTAGTAAGTCATTGACCTGAAACTTCTATGCAAACAGCATTAGCTAGCCAAAAATGTCAAGATTTCTCACGCTCAGCCCCATGAGGGAGAGAAATCACTCAATTCCCCTATCCTATCCATGCTAAATACTGTGGATAGATGAATCTCTTGTGCCAGCACCCACAGATATCAGAAAACTTAAACAGTGTCTGTATCTGATTGGATGCAGGTGCTGATTAGCTGACAATTTTTCACTAGCCTGGTGACATTGTGCAGGCACAGTGACATTATTGACATTATATGGCGGTCTACTCTGAAGCTGTTAGTATTTTCTCTGTTTACTCAGTAGGCTGAACAAAGGAAAACAAACAGATTCCTCCACCCACACAAAAAAGTTGAATGAAATTGCCCCTTCTGGGACATTTTGACAGCAAGACCCACAACTGTCAGAATACACTGATCAGTGACTGCAGCCGCCAATCGAGAACATTTTTCCAGCATGTCCCTTCGACAGAAGTAAACACAATGATTGACTTTAATCAAGCAGGGACAGCCACATACTGATCATAATTCATAATTTCATAATACACAAATGTTGATCAGTGTATGGCCAGCTTTAGCAATGATGTGCTGATGACTCTAGAACAAGTGCATGTGTTGCATACCAATGGGGAGCCACATGCTGGACTGTATGGCCCTCATGTGTACTCACATAACCCATTCATGCCTGGACATGGGAGTCATTTTCCAAAGAACCCTGAGATCTGCTTGGCCTAGGACACCTCAAGGTACCCCAGCACTTTGGCGTATGCTTTGAATCACCCCTGAGCTTACACTTTTAGAAACACCCAGCCTGGCCTAAGCTGAATTCCCCAGCTGTACTTCCACAACTCTGACCCTAACCCACTACAGGTTTTATAACAAGGAGTCCCACAGCAGCCTACGATGACACAAGCCTGCTAGCAGACATTCCTAACAGAGGTTAGAAGAAAGAAGAGTTCGGAAGCAGAAAAACTTTTCAATGCTTTACGTGAACAATCAGTCAATTCCATGTATATGCCTCAGTCGTCCTTGTCCCAGGTGACGCCCACACTACTTCAGTTGCAAATAGAACATTTGATATATGAGGAGAGAGAGAGTGTCAAGGAGTAGCACATTCCTTTACAGGGTTGTCCATAGCAGCGGCGGACTGACCATTGGAAACTCGGGCACTGCCCGAGGGCCCTGGGTCAGTAGGGGCCCCATGAGATGCCCCTGGTACCTTTTTCATAGGCTTTTTTGAGTTTGGGCAAGGACACAGGGGCCCCATGATCCCCTATTGCCCGGGGGCCCCATGAGTTGTGAGTCCACCCCTGGTCCATAGTCAAGCATTCTTACAACTTACAATAAGAAATGAGCTTAGTCATAGACCTCTATGACTAAGCCAGTGGGAGGGTAAAATGCGATAGAAGCGTGGCATGGGAAGAGACTAGCTGAAGCCGTTTTTTACTCCTCTTTTTTTTCCATAATCAACTGTTCTATTAGCAAAAGGATTGATTGTTTAGCTACATGTTTCTTATTATACATTAGTGTCATGGGGCTGGACGGGCCCTCCAAATGCCTGCACTTCACGGTGGTTGGAGTCACCGAATGCATACAAACAGTTGCTTGAAGCAGCAGTTTTCTTATGGGATTTCAAGAGAGGGGATGCAAATCATCCAAAGTCCTTCTCCCTTGCTTCCCCATCTAGGGGAAAGCTGTGAAATAAATCCTTACAACCTAAATCCTTGCTGTAAATTGGTCTTCAGCCACTTCCTATGATGAATCCTCATCAGCTCCCCACCAATACTATCTGCTAGTCTTCTACACAGGGTGCCCCACTGAGGTCAGGACAGGGTTGGCATTAACACAAGGTGCCCGCTACCTCACATCCTACCTATGGGGACCTGTAGTAGTAGACCTATTATACCTACACTGCCTATTAATCCAAGTGGTCCTCTAGCGTCACCTTATGGACAGAAAAAGGAAATATACTGGGTACATCCATAACCTTACCATACATATGTAGACAGTAAGTGGCTGAAAGAGGATGGAGGTGACTAGCATCATTGAGATGAAAATAACACGAAGGCAGCATTCTATGCCAGTTGTTTATGGTTCACAGGGCTTTAACAAACTAAATGTCATCCACTTATTGTTTAGATCTGCTTTAAGCCCCAGTTCACCTTTCCCACATTTAATGTCATATTTGCTGTGTATGCTTCATCCTTTCCATTCTGTTTTATTATCTTTCATTTTGTTTTTCTTCATTGATATTTTGCCCATCCTTCTGGCTTTCCACTGGTTTTTTTTTTTTTTCTTTTTTCAGATTTTCTGAGTTTCCCAGGATGTTGTACACAAGAAACAAAAGGAATTGGAGAAACATTCTCTCAATTAAACCTAAAGCTAGGTATACATGAGGTGATTTCACAGGAAACAGTGTTGTTATAATTTCAGCTAAAATTGGTGCAAAGAAAAGAATAAATCACACAAAGTGACATAATTACAGATTTTATCCATATAAAATGATATAGAATCCATAAGCAGTACCTTAAATACACTGATTTACTAATTGTTATTTTTCAAACATTTATGAAAAATGTGATGTATTCTTACGTCTAAGACACAGATATATGCAAAGTACTGTCTGTGGTTGAGGTCAGAATGAACACATACCTAATACTTGTTTTATATAAAACAAATTTATATGCTTCCCCAGCTAATATTTATGTCCCATTAATGACTCCTTTTCTTCCCACAAATTAATTTAATTGCAGTATACAAATATTCTGACTCCAAATACTTCCAGAAAAATAATTACTCATAAATTATCTATAAATGAATGTTTACCTAAATGCTATTATTATTATTATTATTATTATTATTATTATTATTATTATTATTAATAAACAGGATTTATATAGCGCGAACAGTTTGAGCAATGCTTTACAAACTTGCAAAGATACAAAACTCAGTTGGAGATGTAAGGGAAGAGGACAGACACAAGTGGAGGACATGAAAAACGTGTATCTTTTTGTGTATAGGAGAGCAAAAATATGTGCATACAGTCAGGTCCATAAATATTGGGACATCAACACAATTCTAACATTTTTGGCTCTATACACCACCACAATGGATTTGAAATGAAACAAACAAAATGTGCTTTAACTGCAGACTGTCAGCTTTAATTTGAGGGTATTTACATCCAAATCAGGTGAACGGTGTAGGAAGTACAACAGTTTGCATATGTGCCTCCCATTTTATTAAGGAACCAAAAGTAATGGGACAGAATAATAATCATAAATCAAACTTTCACTTTTTAATACTTGGTTGCAAATCCTTTGCAGTCATTTACAGCCTGAAGTCTGGAACGCATAGACATCACCAGACGCTGGGTTTCATCCCTGGTGATGCTCTGCCAGGCCTCTACTGCAACTGTCTTCAGTTCCTGCTTGTTCTTGGGGCATTTTCCCTTCAGTTTTGTCTTCAGCAAGTGAAATGCATGCTCAATCAGATTCAGGTCAGGTGATTGACTTGGCCATTGCATAATATTCCACTTCTTTCCCTTAAAAAACTCTTTGGTTGCTTTTGCAGTATGCTTTGGGTCATTGTCCATCTGCACTGTGAAGCGGCGTCCAATGAGTTCTGAAGCATTTGGCTGAATATGAGCAGATAATATTGCCCGAAACACTTCAGAATTCATCCTGCTGCTTTTGTCAGCAGTCACATCATCAATAAATACAAGAGAACCAGTTCCATTGGCAGCCATACATGCCTACGCCATGACACTACCACCACCATGCTTCACTGATGAGGTGGTATGCTTAGGATCATGAGCAGTTCCTTTCCTTCTCCATACTCTCTCTTCCCATCTCTCTGGTACAAGTTGATCTTGGTCTCATCTGTCCATAGGATGTTGTTCCAGAACTTTGAAGGCTTTTTTAGATGTCGTTTGGCAAACTCTAATCTGGCCTTCCTGTTTTTGAGGCTCACCAATGGTTTACATCTTGTGGTGAACCTTCTGTATTCACTCTGGTGAAGTCTTCTCTTGATTATTGACTTTGACACACATACACCTACCTCCTGGAGAGTGTTCTTGATCTGGCCAACTGTTGTGAAGGGTGTTTTCTTCACCAGGGAAAGAATTCTTCGGTCATCCACCACAGTTGTTTTCCGTGGTCTTCCGGGTCTTTTGGTGTTGCTGAGCTCACCGGTGCGTTCCTTCTTTTTAAGAATGTTCCAAACAGTTGTTTTGGCCGCGCCTAATGTTTTTGCTATCTCTCTGATGGGTTTGTTTTGTTTTTTCAGCCTAATGATGGCTTGCTTCACTGATAGTGACAGCTCTTTGGATCTCATCTTGAGAGTTGACAGCAACAGATTCCAAATGCAAATAGCACACTTGAAATGAACTCTGGACCTTGTATCTGCTCATTGTAATTGGGATAATGAGGAAATAACACACACCTGGCCATGGAACGGCTGAGAAGCCAATTGTCCCATTACTTTTGGTCCCTTAATAAGTGGGAGGCACATATGCAAACTGTTGTAATTCCTACACCGTTCACCTGATTTGGATGTAAATACCCTCAAATTAAAGCTGACAGTCTGCAGTTAAAGCACATCTTGTTTGTTTCATTTCAAATCCATTGTGGTGGTGTATAGAGCCAAAAATGTTAGAATTGTGTCGATGTCCCAATATTTATGGACCTGACTGTATATGAAAAAAGAGAGCAATAAAAATGAAGAATATGACCATCACTGTACAATGTGAAATAAAGTGGAGGCTGCTGTTTACATAGCTTAAACAAGGCTACCTTAAAGAAGAGCTCCAGTCAAAATGTAAAAAAATAAAAGTCAACAGCTATAAAAACTGTAGCTGCTGACTTTTAAAAAAACAGACACTCACCTGTCCCTCGATCCAACGGTGTCCTCACCACAGTTGGTTTCACCGGCCATCCTCTCTCCCGGAATCCTGAGCATGGGCACCCGGCTGTGACAGCTTGTGGCTTTACAGCTGGGTGCCCACTGTGCACACGTGAGTAGCGCTGCGCCCTGAGAATGGTCCCGTAGTCTTCTGGGACCTGTCACATGTCCCAGAACACAACTTCCGCTTTCGATTGCCTAGGCTGGCCATAGATTATCCAATTTTTTTTGAGATTTTTGGTTTAGATTTACCAAAAAATATATAATAGGAGGTCAAACCTAACAACACTTTCAATTGTATCCAATTAGGCAGGCTCTTGCACTGCATAGTTGAAGGTAAATCTAAAGGAAATTGGGCAGAAATTGGACAGAAAATTGTATAGTGTATGGCCAGCCTAAGGCCTCTTTCACATGGGGCAGACTCGCTTCCAATCAACAGGGGATCCACTTACAGATCCCCTGCTGATCAGAGCAGAGCAGGCAGATGATATGTAAATGAGCGCATGTCTGTTTACACCTGCTGGTCCATAGGGATGAATGGACCATCCAATCAGGTCCACCTGAAAAACTGTCAGGCGAACCTGATCGGAAAAGTTGTGTGAAAGGAGCCTTATTCCCTTCCCTAATCAAGATATCTGTGTGTATACACTCTAAACTATTAGTATTCCAGTCTGTTCAAGACAGAGGCTATTCAGGTTATTCACAGCATAACAGTAAATAAGTCTTTGGGAACACCTGAGGTTTACCTTCAGGTCTTGAACATAATTAAAGAGACCTTGTCATGGGAGAAAGAACAAGGCACCTGGAGGACTCTGTACATAGCTGCAGCAGCCTTCCAAACTCTCCCATTGTGGCTGAATGACAGGCTGCTCTAACAGTTCTGCACTTCTTAAGAGATTTTTGGCACAGAGTTTTGGGTACCAAGCTTGATGGTATCGTGGATTTTAGGGAAAATTGGTTCTGGAGTGATAGTATTCTCTTTATTGCTGTGATGTGGATTTCATTCTTGTAATATAAGGCTTAGGTACACTTTAAGGATTAAATTGTATTACCAATTGTGCAGTCAATATTGAAAACAATCCCACTGTTTGTTAGTTATGTGTTCCTGTTCAAAGAGCATACCTAAGTTGTTCTTATGTTTCTAGGTGTTTGTTAGGAGCAAGCCTCAGGCAGAAAGCTACTCTGAACAATTGAAATGAGAAGAAACTCAATGTGTCCCCAGTGACAAGTCCTTCATTAACATACATTAAAAATGCCTGTTCTGTCCCCACATGAAGGCGAATGAAGGTATAACTGATAATGGCTGTGTAACTTCCTACCTTCATATCCAAGCAGTGGAGCAGACCGGACCGGCAGATGCTTAGGTTAGACGGATCCAAACGTATACACGGAAA